GCTCCATCATCATCATCGCCACCAGCATCTTGTATACCTTCGGAGCCTCCGCTCCACTTCACCTCACTACACCCCCCTCAACGTCCCACCACCAACAGCAGCCTGCAGCTGATTTATACAGTCAGCCTTGAACAACGGACTGTTGATCATGGAACTGTGCCCATTTTCCTCCAGTGGGAGATAATAATATTTCAGTGGGTGCACTTTCTCCCTCTCTCCCTCTCCCTCTCTCTCTCTCATCTGTGGTCGGCTTCTCAGACACATCAAAATGAATAATTGAATTGGACCTCAGTTTGAAGTTGTATTTTAGCGATTGGACTTCACTGACACTGGTAACTAAATACATGTTGAATAATGTGTTGGAGATACAGAATGGTAATAAGGAGGATGTTGGAAACTTTTCATGGCTGTCTATTAAAACTTTTTTTTTTACTTCAAAGTCCGGATTTACTTCCACTTGCGTTCCCTGATAATACTTTTTCTTTTCTTTTCTTTTTTTTAACAAATGTACAGTACATGCACTTTGTAATCATTTGCCCTGGTTTTATTCTTTCTGTGCAGCAAGGAATCAAATAATCCACAGCTCAGTATTGGTCCCCAACTTTTTGCTTTGGGAACCTTGCGCTACACCGGTGGTTCTCAATTATTTCTGTCACGCCCCCCCCGTCCTTCCCCCTCGACCCTCTTGGGGACAGAAATGTTTTCACGAAATACTACTCAGAACCTGATGACATATATATTTTTTTATCTGTATAAACCAGTTGCTGCCCCCTAGTGACTGGAGGCTTGTTATCATTCTAGCATTACAGCAGTGGTACACTTATGTCCATATTCCATTGGAAGCCCCTCACCGTGCCCCCCATGGGGACCCGCCCCACTATTTGAGAAGTACTGATTTTATTTAATAATTCATTTTTATGACCATTATACTATAATTCGCTCCCTCAATTACATCAGCCCTTTGATAAGTTGAGTTTGGAACATTGCTTTTTAAATTTGATTGTGTTTGTGTGTGTATGTATTATATCTTTGTTATAAGTTGTTATTTTATGGACTTTTGCTTCTTTATCAGAAGAACTGTCCACAGTTTACTGTAGTCAAGCAGGACTGTGCTTTAATATGTGTTTTGACTGGCAACCACTGCTGTAATACTTCGTTTTTCAGCATATATTACAAATTCAGATTTTATTTTGACATTTATTTCCGTTTGTTGTCGATTAATTCAAACCAAATTATTATACCAGCGCTGTACCGGTCAAGGCCAGTAAAGCCTTCTCTTCTGGTCTTTTCGCTTGGTTACGCTACTTCCGGTCACGTGTGTATACTCGGGGTTTTTATCCAGTTACATTTCAGCCTCATGTGTTGCCAGATTTAAATCAATCAGTCCTCGGGCCTTCAGAATTAGCGGTAGGACACCCGGTACCTAAAATGAATGGCAACAAGTTTGTTTCTTCAACCAATCAGATTTTGAGTTGGCAGCAACAAAGCCTTCTAGCTGGCGTACAGTTACGTTGGGGATTTGAGTGATTTGATTGGATGGTCAGTGAGCGTACGCGTCGAATCTGGTAAATTGCATCTATAGCGTCTTGCACGTGTGAAAATTACGTTTGCTCTACGTCCACAGCTTCTGTTGAGCGGACATTCTCGACGAGAAGTTAAAGTTTTGTCATAAATACGACAGGACAGACTGGACTTACGTTAACATCGATGGAAATATATATAAAAAACAACTCGTGAGAACTGGAGCTCTCCGAAAATATGTACGACGGCAATTGAACTCATCTCGAGGAAAGAGGAGGATGGATTTATTGTACAACTAATAAGACGTTTTGGTGAGTAAAAGTGATTTAATCTTTTTTAATAATATTTTAATTGTGTTATGTCATGCTATGCTATTATTGTATTAGGTTATTATTTATGCTTGGCGTACATTACGTGTCGCAGCCGTGGCTGAATTTTGCTTTGTGGTTGCTTTAGTAATGGTATAACTTTTCTAGAACTTTCTATGGACATAATGACATTATTAGGATGTGAATTTTACTCAGGCAGGACGCCCCTGAAGGCCCCGGTGGCGAATACGAAGCACACCACTGTTATTAATAAAACGGCCTGGGCAGAGATAGTTACCAAAATAATTCCAGTAATTCTGAAACGCTTATTTACTTTACAGCTCGTATAAAACTGAGACCCAGCTGTAAATCAAGATAACATGTTACACACTGTTCCTACCACGTATTGATTTGTGGTCTAATTAGTCAAGTGAAGCAGTCTTTTTCATTTCCTTTCATTAAATCTAATACTGTCAACCTGCTGTGATCTGGAAAACAACAATATAAGTCTGTGAGAAAGAGAGAAAGTTCATGTGCATTAATTTATGACTATTCTTAGTATATCTCCTGGTAGAATGACTAAACTAACCCAAGAGAGACAAAACTGTATTGTTGCATTTTGCAACAACAACAACAACAAAAACTGTTGCATTTGTGTACAGTGGTGAATGGCAACTTTTTGGTGTAGTACAGCTGTGTATTTTGGAAATTAATGATGAGTATTTACCCATTACCAAACAAACAACATTTTGTATTTTTGCAATGCGGTTTACTGTTTACATGTTTATCTTATTTCTGTTTCTATTACGACTGCACCCTAGGTTTTAGAACTGAGACAAGTCACGCCGGACTTGCTTTAAAATCCTCCCCCCTATTTTTGCAGTATGAAGGATTTGAGCTCTCTAAGTTTGTGTTAAGTCATTTTATTTGCCCAAATTCACAAACACATTTCATCTCAGCGCACTTTACAGTTTTAAGATCAGAATTATAATTACAATTCCTTCTTTGAAAAACCCGAAAAAAATGGAAGGTGTTTTTGTTTAGTCAGTGTTATACTGAGTTTAAATTAACAATACAAAGTGAAGCAGAGGACGTTTCACAAATTTAGTTTTAAAGGGAGAAGGTAGCTAAGGAAAAGTGGGGGGAAAAAAGTAAGAAAATTGTGCTGCCAAGCTAGGGGTTCGGCAAAGGGAGAAGTGACAAAAGGACGTGGAGGAGCAAGAGCTGAAAAGGTGTAGAGCAGGTTAGGTTGATAAAGTATTAAGAGGGCAAAGTGCGAGTGACTAAACAGAGGACGTTGAGAAGGAAGGAGAAATATTTTGTTGAGCTTATTAAAAAGGGAAATTGGAAATGGTGAAGGTAGCTGATACCCAGGAGGGGCAAAAGAGTACTTTTGTACAATGCTGATAAGTACATATCTGCATCTATCACTCTATACTGTTCCCAGATAAATCCTCAGTGAAACCACGTGTTGATTATGAATCTGTGTCTTCCGAGGCAGGGTTCAGTGTTTCTTCATGTCCAGGTGGGGACGCCTGTTTGGCTGGGAGTTCTGACAGCAGCTCTCCAATGCTGCCACAGTACAGTAGGGAACGCATGGGCCATTTCTGAAGAGAGGAGAGAACAAGTGCAAATAAATCTGCAGTTTTCATTTAAGCAGTATCTATCTATAACTATGCTATGCTAAATTATGCTATCACAAGTGCAAATAAATCTGCAGTTTTCACTTAAGCAGTATCTATAACTATGCTATGTTAAATTATGCTATGCTATGCTATATACAATGAAATAGTGTTACTTTGTTACTCACCTTTACTGGATGCAAGTATCCACCAGACCTGGGTGGCAGACTGTTCTCAGTCAGAATCCCTCCATCGTCCAGAGTCTTTGTCAGGTAGGCTATATAGTTAGTGGCGAGAACCAGAACGTCCAGTTTAGACAACTTGGTGTCAGGTGGCACTGAGGGGAACCCATCCTGTGGACCAACACATAGTCAACATTGTGTTTTACTTATTTTTTTTTTTTTTTGGTTCATTATCAACGTTTCAAAGTAACTGAAATTCTTAAAATTGAATCACATCAAAAGCAAATCTTCTTTAACCTGTAGGTTGTAAAAGGCCTCCCGTAAGCTGCGTACACGGTTCCTCTCTCGTGCTGCGTTTTGTGGTGAGTGGCCTTTGAGCATTCGGGAATGGATCGCAGGACAACAGCTAGAGCCTGAGTCTGTCCTGGACCCACATTTTGACTGTACCTGCTGCACAAGACGGCAGACAGGAGAGATAGTATCAGGGCCACATTCAGGACAAATGTATATTTATAAAATATATGGGAATAAAGTCGTGTGGACGATTAGGGGCCACTGAAAACAGTTAGTTTACAAGATTAAAATAATAAGCTTATAAAAGATTGTAGTAAATCTATGAGAGTAAAGTTGTTAGTTATAGGCCGTATGTCTAGGAGAAAGATGCTACAAAAAATTGAGACATACAATTATGAGAAATACGATTGGACTTGTTGTAAATCAATAAGAATAAATTAGTTTATTTATGATTGTATTCTCATAAACTTCCACTCCTCCCTGCCCCCGTAACGCTACAACTTTATTTTTGTAAATTTACGACTTTGTTTTGTAATTTTAATTTTGTATCATTCTCAACCTGTTACAAAATGCAATTTTAGGTGATGAGTCACTTTATCAGTTAACTGATGATAGACATTGGATATATGCTATAGAATTTTTTGTACAATATTTATAACAGGTCTTGTGGTTCTCAGTGACATATTAAAAATTTGTGTCAATAACGCACAATAACACACATATTTCTCTTGCACTTTGCCCTCTTGATACTTTATCAACCTAACCGGCTCTACACCTTTTCAGCTCTAGCTCATCTATGTCCTTTTGTCACTTCTCATATATGATAACATAAGCGGCGTTTGTCCCTAAGACGTTGTTACCTAATATTGCTAAAGCCTGGTTTGGATCTTGTTAGCACAACTCCGACTCACCATCCTCCCGGGCTGCGGCCAACTGCAGCGTGGGCTCTGCCTCTGTCTGTGCACAGATGCTGGGCTGCTGGCGGCAGACGCCTGCTGGAGCTGCGGCTCCTCCACGAAGCTGAAGTCCAGCTGATGCTTCGCTGCCACCTTACGGAGACCTTCCAGGGGGTTGACAGCCATGGATGCTGCCCAGGCAGGGGGTGGGATGGGGGGGTGCAGGAAACCTGTCCTTTTTTTTAAAAACTTAAAAAACCTTTAAAAGTTTTAATTTGAAGTCTTCGTTTGTCCTGTCATTTTTTTACTTACTCGGATGAAATTGTTGTTAACCAAGCAAAGTTGACCAGACGTCTGATGCTGGTGGAAACATCACGGTCACTTGTTGCTTGTCTGAGCATCAGTGTCCGACTGGAGAAGTCCTCCTAGTCTGACCTTCTCTTTCTCTCCCTCTCTGTCTCTCTCGCCACATCTTCCCTCACTCTCTCTCTCTCTGCTTGTTTCCTTATCGGGTGAGGTAATGTGAGGAACTTCATATACTCCTTATCTCAGCCGCCCGGTCGTCCTGATCCTCCCCTGGCTGTTTGGCTGCCAAGAAGAGCAGGCAGCCCAGTCGAGGGGAGTGGAGCTCTGGGTGGGAGGGTGAGGGGAGACGGGGCACTGAGGAGCTTGGGAAACTCAAAGCTGCTGCTACAGCTGGACGGGGGCTGAGGAGGGTCAGGGGCTCAGGACGCAGCGACATTGACCATTAGAAATAAGGGAGGCGGAAATTCACTTAGCCTTAGTTTGGAACCATTTTTGGCACGTTACCAGAGTTGTTTGCACTTGACCGTCAAACTGCATGATGGGCAGCGGACCTGTTTGGGTAACGTAAATGCACTTGACCGTCAAACTGCATGATGGGCGAACCTGTTTGGGTAACGTAAATAATGTGATTGGTTGTGACAGTGAAACCTGTCCATTTAAATGGTTGCATTTTAAACACGCAGGAATAAAGAGAATCCCCTATGGAAAATGGCTTTGCAAGAACTGTCGACCATTCAAGAAAAAAACTGAACGGAAGCTCTGTGAGGTGTGAATTCATGCGGCCGATGAGCTCTTACAGAGCGAAACAGTGTGTTAGAGAAAATAAATTTAATAATAAACTTGAAATAAATGTGTTTTTCTTAAGGCTAGTCTTTCATTGGGGTTTATGGTTAACAAGTCTAGACTTGATTTATAATGTTAGTTTGTGGTTTTTTTTGACTGTACATGTATTTTAATAATAAAAATAAAATCTCAGTTTGAATGAACAAAACATTAACATTTTATAGACACAAAATACTAAACGCGAAACAAAAGACGGCAACACAAACTTAGAAGTTAGAGTGAAATCAGGTGTATCATTGTAAAATAAATAATTGTAAAACAATTATTATTTATTGCACGATAATACGTAATAGAAAAATGGAACACTGTTTCGCCCTGTAAGAGATCATCATGTCGACTGGTGGACGAGGACAGTGTTTTTTTTTTTTTTTTTTCCTTCAAATATTTTATTATTAGAATCCAAATTCTCCCATTTTCAAAGATGGTGCCCAATCTGGATTCGTCTTGTCATAAAGATCATCTTTCTCCCCTGAAAATATAAAAAGATCAGCTTTCTCCCCTGAAAAAATAAAAAAAGTACATGGATACATAATTATACAAATGTACAGCATGTACATGTAAAATAATGTTCACATACATTTACATGTATATACACAATTTTGATATAATATATAGATATAGTTGCAATGTATATCATACGGTATTTATAACACCCAAATAATATGTACAGATAATATAATAAATGTACGATGTATGTCTTGTGAACATCATTAGAATAACAGTTTACACGAAAAATCACATTTTACTTTTTATTTAGCCAAGATGGCGGACTACGGAACTATGGGTAGTAGCTTGACGTCATCGGAAAACCATCTATTAAGCAGCATCTTAAAATGTTAACGGAACATAATATCAGCTGTGTACAGGGAGTTATTTTTGTGAAAATATATTTGTACTTGTAGCTGGATTTTAACACAGCGTAGTGGACATAACTGTATTGAATTGAAATCTACATCCATTTCTTATGTGTATGTTTCTCTGACGTTTGTATCGATCTCACCGAAAACAAATACAAATTTGGACCAATTTTTTATGTCTCACAGCGCAAAAGCTCTTTAATGATCAATAGATGATGCTTATGTTATTTCTCTTTGTAAACTGACTAAATGGAAAAAAAAACAAAACAAAAAAACAACAGCCTTACGAACCTATCCTTTTTGTGTACGTGTGTTTTACTGAATAACAGTTTTTTCCCCCGCATTTTTGGTGCTCTTCCACCAGTTCCTGGTTTCCCAACCAAATATTTTTGATGGTCTACTGGCATTGGTGGCATGAACTTTGTTCTTGACATTAAACAGCGGTGTGTAGTTTTAAAGTGGGGTGAGGGAGGATGCGGTGGGGGAGGGGGGGGGTTTAAAATGCTGTTGTTAACTGTAATGGACTCGGCCTCAACTGTTGTGACTTCGGATTAGATGTTTTGTGTTATTTTTTTTTCGAGGAATGCTTGGCACCTTGTCTCCGCTGTCGACTCTACAACAGCACGTGACCTTTGACCCACCATCTGCAGCTGCTTGGTTAACCGTTATCAGGACTACAAAGCTTGTTATAAAGAAGTCAGAAACAAGATGAACATCAGTCGGAGGAATAATGAACAGACGCTGGTGTTTGTTTTCATTCGTTTTACTTTCATCTGCACGTGGACGAACACCTCAAACTGTTAGATACGGAGGTGAAACGCCACGTTTAAACACAACGACCTGAAACTTTTGTTAGAACGTGTTGTTATTTCATATTATATTTTCTTAAAACGAGTCAAATCACACACAAGGCTAATATTTAAAAAAAGATCATAGCACACTCTACAGTATAAACCAGGGTTTGATAGTCAATACAAGGTCAATAATTGTGACGAGAGGAATATTACATCTTAATAAGTTCAGTGTTTTCATATAATTGTACTTTGGTTTTGTCTACCATAGTAAGAGTACATGGATGTAATAATCTGGTTGCGAGTAAAACCATTGTTAACACGCAGTAGCTCCAGACAGTATCAGATGTTACTCCACTTAATTTCAGTAGACATTATTGAATGTTGAAGGAACAGAAAATACATTACAAAGGAGACAATAAAACGTAGAGACTTTTTCTACCTACTGTATTTTCCAGAGTAGAAATCACACTTTTTTGTCCTTTGGCTGGATTTGTGACTTGTATATTAAAATATATAATTTCACATGCTTGTTATTTGCCACTAGAGGGCACTCTAGGCTTGTGTACCAGTATCTGCTACTCCTCTAGCACTGAAAATGTACATGTTCATTATTTTCACACTGACGGCCGCTAGAGGGCACTGGTGTGACTTATACTCCAGAGCTACTTATATGTTTTTTTTTTCCTTCTTCATTATGCATTTTTTGCTGGTGCAACGTATACGCCCAAGCGACTTATAGTCTGGAAAATATGGTAATTGAGTTTGACAGTACCTTATAGTCCGGAAAATATGGTAATTGAGTTTGACTGTAGAAGCCAAGCTTCACACCAAATGTAGCATTCCTAATCACACATTTGACCATTGATACAAATGGAGTTTGATTTAAATTACGACTTCCGATAGGTTTACAATTTTTTCACAATTTTCCATGTTTGTGTTCAAGGTCATTAATGTGTTAACTGCTCCGCTACTTCTTTTCCTTCTCCACCTCCTTAGTGAACTTCTGGATATCTTCTGCCATCAGCTGCGGCTCCTCCATGGCAGCAAAATGACCACCACGAGCCATGTAAGTAAATGTCACAATGTTGTGGTATTTTTGTTCGGCCCACAGTCTGGGTGAGTGTACGAGCTCATTGGGAAAGGAGGCGATACCAGTGGGAACCTTAACCGGAATCCTAGAAAGAGATAATGAAGGTCGGTTTTTAAAAAAGTATACGTTAGCTTCTTCAGCTTCAGGAGGCCGTCAGTGTTGTCTTTTATTTGTCGTAACTCACCTTGCATGTGGTGCGTCAAGGCCTTTGCTCAAGTTTTCTTTGTAGAACCTCATAGATGGGATAATACATTGAGCAACCCAGTAGATCATAACGTTGGTAAGCAGATCGTCCAGGGAGAATTTCCTGAAACACATTCCGCAAACATTCCGATGTTACTGACAGAGTGCTAGCAGTTAGTTACAACACAACCGAACAGCGGGCCAAATTTTGCCCCACATGTCATTTGTTGCGTAATTATACACAATTAAACATTAAGGTTATCTATAAAGTTGATGGGCTTCAATCTATACTAGCGATAACGACCGTAATAAGAACAATAATGCAATATTCATACATATGCTATCGATTTTTTTTTCTTCCGATAATGAAAAACCTAATAAATGAATCCCTGGATTTTGTCAAAATGTGCGAATAAAATCTTGTGAGATAGCGCATGATTGATGACATCGTCAAACCGTATCGTCAGGCAAAACGGCTAGTATCTATCAGGCTGGCTTGCCTGTGCGGTGCAATTCGTAGTTATTGCAAAGCGGTAGTTATAGGTACGTTCATTAAAACACGCCTCTCATTATTTCCCATCTGCTTATTGGAACTTCTTCTTCTCTTCTTTCTTTCGCCAATCTGAATTTGATACAGACCCATCTGCTGGTCACATCTGATAACACACCTAAACATTACATATCATCACCATGATCTGTAACATAAGTGTTTCATATGCAAAAGAAAAAAAAAGCTAAACACTGGCTTTAACTCAAACCCAATACCTGGTGAGTCCGCCATCGTTTAGATTTCTGAAATCACGGTTTGTCCAGGTGGAGAATTTCTCCAGGATGTAAGTCGCAAGACCTACAGGGGAATCGTTGAGTCCTCGACCTAGAAAAAAAAAAACAGCCAACCCTTACTAGAATGTTTGTTTTTATACAAAATTGAAGGCTACGAATATTTTCAGATCCTTACCAACGGTGTCAGGCTTGGTGGCCTGGATGTGCATGTAGCCACTTTCTTTGATGGTCTCCACCAGAATTTTTTCCTTGCAGGGAAAGATACCCCTTACATCCGTATCAGTGAATCCAAACAAATTAGGGAAGTGTTGACCAAGCACCATTGATAAAACCATGAGTGGACTAGGTTTCGAAGCAGGGAAGAAGTTCACATGCAGTCCTTTTACAGACCTGGGTGTACAAAAACATTGACATCAATCATACAACAGAGACATTTCACAAGTTTCACTTTCACTTTCAAGTTCTATATGTTTGTTGGTTCAGTTGTGGCTAGTACTTTGGCTCCAGCTGTGCCATGTTGGTGGTGATCAACCAGCCCCAGTCTCCACCCTGAGCATAGAACTGCTGGAAACCCAGACGCTTCATGAGCTTCAGGAAGATGTTAGCTGCACAAACTGAATTAAAGCCTGCACACACACACACATGAACACATAAAGAAAAGAAATGGTGACGTTATAAATTATGCTCTCCTTTAATAGTCAGCTAACAATGTGCTTTAATATGTTTGTTTTTTAATAAAAAATGAGGTCATTTCAGGTGGGATATTATAGGTTAATGAGGAAAATTTGTTTCAGTTTCAGTCAGTTTCTCAATGCTCCCTAAACTCTACGTCCCTAGCAATTAATTTAAGTACTTTCCAATTCTAGCACATACAAATATGTATTACTCAAATGTCTATGCTTTTTTTTTTTTTTTTGTGCTTTCATCCAAATACAACTAACCTTTCTTGTGCGGTCCTTCAGAGAAACCGTATCCTGGTATAGAGGGACACACAACCTCAAACACAAGATCATCCGGGTCTGATGGTTCTGTCAGCAGGGGAATCACTCCAAAGAACTCATAAAAGGAACCTGGCCAGCCATGAACCATTATCAGAGGAATGGCAGTCTTCCCTTGCGGCACGTTCTTGGGCTTCACGTGCAGGTAATGTACATCAATGCCTGTGTTACAGATATACAATATAGTACCATAGTAAGTAAGTAAGTAAGACCTTGGATCAGGGGTGAAACAGCGGGGCCGGGTCATGAGCAGATAGATGGGGCATTCATGTAAACTAAATGACATGTAAAAGTCATGCATAACGGCTTTTATCATTTTCTACACCATCTATTGGAGAAATGTGGGTATTGCAGAGAAAAGGCATAAGTATAATAAATATAATATAAATAAATTATATCATTTGGAAAAGTTTGGGGCGGGCCGGATTAAAAAAAGCGGAATGGGCCGCATTCGGCCCCCAGGCCTTAGTTTTCCCATGCCTTCCTTTGGATTGTACTGTGTTACAGAGGTTGTCAGATGTGTGTGCGGCCTCACCTTCGATATTGGTCTTAAAGTGCGGGTACTGGTTCAGTTTGTCCACTTGTTGTTTCCAGTTAAAGTCGTTTCTCCAGTAAGAGATCACCTTTTCCAAATACTGAGAGTTAAAGCCATAAAGAAACTGGCTGTCCTCCAGAGAAGCAACGGGCCGTGTCTGGTCTATTCTTCGGTGAAGGTCCTGGGAAAAAAAGCAAAGATTTTTTTTTTGTAAATTCACCATCCCGTCTTCTAGTCGTCTACACTGACTCGTCCTCATAATCGTAATAAACCATTCCAAAACTGACCTCAAGCTCTTCATCGCTGGTTGTGATTTTGAATGGTCGTATGGTGACATCCTCTGCACCATCAGGGGGCGCTCCTGCTCCCCACCAACCATCCTCTACTGTCAGAACTCGCTTCTTTCTTCCCTGAACCAGGAAGTAGACCAGTCCTCCAACCACAAGGCCAACGAGCACCAACGTAAACATGATGCTCAGAGTCTGGAAAAGGATATAAAAAAAAAACAGTGCAGTGATATGACATGGGATTTTGGGAGAGTCTTTTTAATAGTATTTTATTTCATTATTTCTTTGAAGAAAAAGTCGTTGTAGTTTACATTAATTAAATATTTCTTTGGCATTGTTAGCATGCAAATCTTATGTTGAGTAAATGTTTAAGTGTCCTGTTTGATCAGCTGCTTAAAACTGGTTTAAAATTTGACAGGTTGAATTATTGAGCTATACCTTGTTATGATCCAACACTGTTTGATTCAGTGATTATTTTATAATTCTAGTTCCTCAATCTTGTGACTTATGGACACAAAGCACAAAGTTTCTTTTGTATCTTGATTTCACTTTGTCATGTTAACTTAATCTGTTTTTTTTTTGTTTGTTTGTTTTACATGTAACTCCTAAACCAGCTTCCAATCAACCAGACAAGCCTAACCGGCTGTTGCCCATCTATACAGCAGGATCTTCAGTGTCAGTCAATGAGGCTGAGGCCATACCAGGTATTGCTGTTTGTTCACCTTTAACACAAATGCTTGTCATTTCCACTTACCCTATGTACAAATCTTGTTCACCTTTAACACAAATGCTTGTCTTTTCCACTTACCCTATGTCCCAATCCTATGTACAAATTATATACCTTTGCTCTATTAGATACCAGCCATTTTTATTGACGTTCTAAAGTTCTGTCTGGACAGACACTATACATTGTAGGATGTTAGAGTCACACTGTATGGATACTGTATAGATAGATACAGAGATAGATAGATACTTTATTGATCCTCAAGAGAAATTAAGGAAAATAAGCGAGACCACACTCTTTAGAAACACATTTCCACAATAAGAAACTATAGAAATGATCCCTGAAAGTATAGTCAGTCAGTCAGCAAGTGTGGCAGTTAACATAAACATTTCAAAAAAGGGTCACAAATGGGTGTAAAACCTTAAAACTTTGAATAAAAACAACCTTAGGAAATTCAACTTTGAATAACCTGCATAGTCTTTGTTCACTGAAGTTAGCGCTTAGTTAGAAAATAACACAAATGTTTGACATAATTCAATGAGTGTGACACAGTTCGTCGGTAAGTCATGTGTTATGAGAAAAATGTGGCAAAAAAAAATCCAAACAAACACTTTTACATAGTTATACTATTTTTGAGGTCTTGGCCTCTTTAAGGGGATTTAGTTAAGTCTCTTAAGGAGAGATGCAGACTACGCAACACGCAAGTAGATTTGCCGATTTATTTCAATTTTCGAATTTTATCACACAAATGGGATTAAAACAACTACTACTACTCTCTAACGACAAGATGAAACAGTTATTTTCCTAGTTGTATCAGGTAAGTCCACTGTTAAGTGGCTATATTTTTCTTTTGTGTTTCTCCTGGCTGTTAGTTGTTAAGGCGGCGAACAATTTGGAGCAAGGGTGAAAGTACTCAATACAACCTGAACTTCCTCTCTGACCCACCTAACAGACATGGAAGGCAAACAATACGTGTCAATCAATGACGAAACACGTTATGAAATTATGAATGTTCAAACTAAAGTAGTTTTCGAGAAAAGCTCTGTATTCACTGTATTACACTGCTTTTAATACAGTATGTACTAACAAAGTGTTACACATACTAGCACTTTAGCAGGTGCAAAGTAATTTTAAATAAGAGCAGCAAAAAAAAAACAAAAACAAAAAAAAAACCGCGACATCAATTATTAACATCACTTTATTCTGTATCACGTAGTACAAAGTGTGTTGTGCTGTTTAGTCGACGTCTCCTGCTCCGTTTTGTTTCGTCCTCAATTCATATGAACTTTGCTCAAAATTTGATGCGAATGTGTTTACGGTATGGCTGCACTTTTAAAACTCGACAATAGTTTTAAGCCGTTTTATAGACTATATACTGAACAGGCTGCAACCGAACCTAACTTCGTATTCTGCCTTATCTAAACTCTCCGTACCGACATCAATTATGTCTCGTAAACTACGCTACGACATCCAAACGTAGTTTCACACAGAGTTTAAGAACGGGGTAAGGAAGAGATGTGTTGCGTTTACGTTACCTGCTCCTGCTGCTGTAGCGGAGAATTCCAGTTGCTGTGCTGACCGCGTTCGGTTACCTAACAGTAGCCCTTTTTATTCTAGGTGTATAAAGGGAACAAGAGTAGCGGAGACTTCCAAAATAAAAGTACTGCCAGGAGCAACAGCTACTGTAGATCGAACAACAGTACAATTTCCACTAAAGTAATAAATGTCGTATAAAAAAAGCTATATATAGAGAGACTACAGAGAAGCCTAAATTCTGTATACACAAATAAACACAACCTATTACTAATGTTAAAGTATTCACTACTACATAGTTATTGCATATTATTGGTAGAATTGGAGTTATAATTTAGCATTTTTGCATATTAATTAGCTATTACTAAGCAGAACTGCTATTATTTCCAGTAATATACAGAAAATGAACAACCGTGATTCTTGATTAATCACGATTAATCTAAAGCCCTAATTTATACACAATTTTATAAAAAAAGAAGTAAAACCTAAGCCATCCAGATATTTTTTATCTTTTTATTTGAGCTTAATTTATTTTCCTGAAAATTAATGACTAGTTGTTTAAGATTCTGAGTGGTGCTTTTAAATCATAATTTTGAAACATAAAAGTAATTAGTTGAAATAATATTTTTATCTTTAATTGCTTTAAACAATTACTAGACATTTCAGGCGACCGTAGTTGAATTCCAAGCGGGTCCATGTTGGAAAACACTACCGTAAACACGTTAGAATCTTGTCAATACGGCTGTAATTTCCATAACACGGTAAAAATTAAATGTGCAAATACATTTTTGGAGTTAAAGTTTCCAATAGTTTTGTTTAATAGAAGAATTCATCTTCAAAATTGCAGAAAAAGAAAACACAAAAAGCCATACCATGTGTACTGGACTAAATAAACATTTATTAAAAATGTAACATAACTATTATAAGCATTCGAAATCGCATGTGGAGCAGGACGATGTTGTTGAGAAATGAGAAAGACCTGCTTTGTTCAGGCAGCACGAGTTCATAAGAAAGAAAAAAAAACGGCAACAATGATTTAAAAAAAAAAAAAAAAAAAGCCGGCAACAATGATTTTAAAAAAACAAACTTTCTGTAGCCTTCTTGTGCCATATTTTCATCTGCTTTAAAAATAAATAGACAATTAAGGGTAACACCTAAAAATGGTGCCAAAGCTGCTCTGCTGCCATGTCAGCAGCAGGGGGATTAGTACAGTTCTTCTATCCCACATCATCCCATTGCTACATTCCCTTCCTTTTTCTTTTTCTTTTGCAACTTTCCACACTTGTGTTGACACTGTGTTCATAGCATCAGAGATGTGATCAAAATGCCTGCAATGATTAGCATGACGATTCTACTAACAAAAGATGTTGTTGGAATAAAAAGAACTTCTGGGAGAATATATACAGTATGTTATGTCACATCTCTGACAGTATTAAAAAAGTAGAAAGGGAAGAATCAGTGTCACAACATTTCAAATTTGCTGAAGAATAATTTCTCTGATTTAAACTTGTATTCTGTACGGTCCTGTATCCTAAACGATTACTTTGTCCTAAACTCAGTCCGTGATCTTGTGTAGCAGATCCACGCTGTTCGTAGTGGTTTTCAATCCGTCTCCATGGCCCCACTGTGAGTCTCTTTGGACACCATGAGTCTCATTAATTTTCCATGGAGCTTTTCGATCTTCTTTACGTCTTGAGCCTGGTCTGTCTTGTACTGTAAGCACTAGAAAGATGGGAGACAGGTGTTGAGGTACTGTAAGCACTAGAAAGATGGGAGATAGGTAGAGTTGAGAGTGAATTGAAAATAAAGCCATTTACACAAATTAGCAACTAGCACAAATAAAGCCATTTACACAAATTAGCAATTAGCAACTAGCATCTAATCACTAAGATTTAAATAATTCGGTTTTTTTAATCAAAAATTAAACTATTTAGTGAAGGAGAATAAGAATGTTGTTTCTTTAGCGTATTGTTTAAAATTGATTAATTACGCAACAAAACCAAACAGCTTGTCTAAATACTTTAACTACTGTATTGAGGGATTTATTAAAAAAAAAAAAAATCCTTTAACTACTGTATTGAGGGATTTATTTTAAAAAAATTGATTCGTGTCCTACAACAACAAATCTGCCATATCAAAAGATGACACTGATAGGGGCCGTATATTTATCGACGAAATAAATTTGTCAATCGAAAAGAAGGGTTTTTTTCGCTAATATAACAAAACAAAAAACAAAAAAAGTAGATTTTCCCCCCCCGTTTCTTACCACGGCGTCGTCGGTCACTTTAATGCAGAGGTTACCATCACAGTGTCTATATTTAAGAACCACTCTGACCTGCGAACACGGCACAAACCATTTGGTTAATCACAGCTTGAGAGCCACACAGAAAAGTCACGTCTCAACGAAACCGAGAAACAATCTTCATAACGCATAAAATGTACCTTCATGGGTTCAGTTAGATACAGTCTTTCCGCCGCCCGGGCGAACTCCTCCCATGTCTGATAGTAAGGCATTTTTGGTCTAAAACAAAGCAGCTGTTCAGGAGAAAATTCTGTTTGAATCCTAGCAGTAGGTTAGCAATGGTCGGAACACCACATCAGCAGCAGCGTGACAGCAACCAATCAGCGAGAAGAAACCGAAGTACAAATAGAACTTCCGGGTCACATTCTTCTTTTACGTTTTTTTTTGGCAGCCGGGCGCCAGCAAGCGCAATTCTGACCTCTACAGTCATTAAACCATATTTAATAAAGCGTCAAACATTTTTCAATCATTAAAACTTTTACCGTAAAGCACTTTGTACCAACACTGTTGTTTTAAATATGCTATATATTAACTCTGCCGGATTTTGTTTTCAGAATTATTTTGCAAAAACCTACCGTACGAAAGTAACGTGTCGGATTACTATGCCGCTGCTTGCTTTAAGGAAGCTGAAGGTGTAATTCAATGTTTTAACCACCAAGTGTCAGGCCAATCTTAGTAAAACAAAAATAAACAAACAGGCGACTCCAAACAAATGGTAAGGGGTTCGATTCCAGGTTTGTGTCAGTGTATATACTGTATTTGTACACCAGGAAGAACAGTTGACTAAATAAATAATAAAACAAACAAACATGCAGAAATCCGTAAAGAGGTTTATTTTTGAAATAAATATAGAAAAAAAAGATCCAGGTTCCTTTAAATCTAATGTAACGCGAATAAAATGTGCGTCTTAAATGTCACAGAAACACCGCTGACAAGGAGTAGGTGGTGTGCAACTTTAGCTTAGCCACGTGAGGTCATGACTTACGTCTATTTGTACAGTATGACAAACAATAATTTTAAAGTCTGAAAAAATTAGGTTTATGCCGGAAAGACAGACAAGGTGCAAACAAGGTCTGACATATTGTTCAAGAACGTGATACGTGGCAGAGAAGTACATAAGAGTGGTGCAGGACAGATAGCTCAGGATGAGAAGTGGCAACTGTCTTTAAGACAGTTTAAGAATAAAACCTGTTAAACTATAGATAAAAATCTTTTTTTTTTTTTTTTTAATAAATGTGTATCATTTTCACGAACACTACATTCAGAATGCAGTTTTTTTCTTCTTTTCAGCATGCTACTTTGTGCACAGATCACAAACTCACAGCTCCGGTGATGCAACTCAGTTGTCAGGGGCAACCTACATTGCTACTTCCCACACGTTGTGAATTGCTGCTTTCAAGTCCTGTCGGAAATCTTGATTGTGGGAGCAACCAAGGCATTTAACGGCGGCAATGTGTTTTTGAGTTTACAGAATTAATTTTGAGTAACGGACAAATTAGCGTGAATTTATTGACAAATACATCACATTGAGGTAAATAAAATGACCATAACAGACGTGTTAAATGTCAGTGCCATAAAAAATATATAAAAATGTTTTAATGTTTGTTTGTTTTTTTTCCCCTCGTAGTTCCCCGTTCTGGTCAGAGGTTCCATGGTGAGTACAAAAAAACCCCAACAAAACACAACAAACAAACAAAAATAACATAAAATTTAAAAACATTTTTAAATTGACTCACCCATAAAGCTTTTTGTTATTTAATTGAAACGTCAGTAAACATTGTTCTGACAATTTTGATTTTCATAGAGTTTCATAAGGTGGAAATTGAATAATGGACACCGTGTGTCACCGTAACATCCAATTGGAGGCTTGAACTGACGTCACCAGGCATACACATAATTCTTTAAATTCATGTTTTGTTGCTTTCTTACGATACACTTTATTACTTTTATTTATTTGCTCTTTCTTACTATTTTCACGTATTTTTTAACGGCAACTCTCTCTCTCTCTCTTTTTAAACCAGAGTCTCTAATCTCAGAGCTGAGAGTGCGACCCTGAATGCAGCACGGAAAGCGGCAGCGAGGCCGTGTGTGAAGAGCACAGAGCCGCAGCAAAGCCCCCCCACACACAAGTGCTCCAAGACGGTCAGCCACAGTCCACTCTCTCCTCGGCTCTGGTGACTCTTCGTCCGCGCAGCCGCGACGTTCTGGAACATGTAGGATACCATAGTTTATGTTTTTACGTTTTGTTTTTTTTTCTTCTTTGGTGTAAATAACAAAAAAGTTTCACCGGGTAGCCAGCACACTGTGGAGCCGCGGTCATCTGGTCTAATTCATCTGGTCGCCCGCAGCCCCTGTAACGAGCCACGAACTTGAGTGTTTGAAGTACAGACCGAGGCTAGCCGCTGTTGAAAGCTGCCGTCTGCGATTCGCTCGGCTTGACAACAGCTGCGTCATGAGGTAAGAAAAGCTGTTTTAATATGTGGAATATCAAGTCATGTAAGAGAAGTGTGGACCCTGTGGACGTGACGCGGGGAGAGTCGACGCGGGGGGGGCGGGAGGGGGGAAGAAAAAACCCAGCTGACATGTCTTTGTACTTGTACTGGAGCGTTTGAATTTGATGGACAGCGGCTCTGCTTCGTGAAGTCATCGTTGGCACATGTTTGCACTGTAAACATGTAAATGTTATCCCACAGCAGTGATGCATTTGGCCTAATTTGTTAGCGTTGTGTTAACGACTGCTGGGTTCCTTGAACGTCTCATTCGGTTTTATGCTGCATTTGGGACGTACCCGGGTTGGCAATTACCCTTCGGTGAAAATGTGTCCAAAAATGTGTATTCTGCTCTTACCGCCACATTCACACACACATATTACTGTGTACTGTCCGAGTATTGTTTGTTATTTTGAATACATAACAGTGAATCGAACCTTAAGGGTTTGTTCAACTACTTTCAAAAATATATATCATTTGTTTTTTATTTTGAAGAAATGGAACATGAAATAATTAAAACCAGAACACCAGATTTTAAACCCCTTTGTATATATATATTTATATATATATTTAAAACGCCTTTAAAATATATGTTTTTGCATATATGTATAAATATGTTCTGCATTAGTTTAAATTATTTTATTTAAATTTTTATTTTTTTTCACCAGATTACATATATATGTACCTATATTTATATATATTGTATATATTTAAAACCCCTTTAACATATATATACATATATGCATATATACATAATAAGTATAGACTCCAGATACATATATGTATATATATTTAGTGTTCTGATTTTTTAATTGTTTTACCAGATTACATATATATGAACATATATATACATATATATATAAAAAATTACTGCATTTTTCTAGTCTAAACAATATCTAAATACCACCAGTTGTTTCCGGAACAGCGAGATGAGTGATGTTCAAACCACATTATTGTAACCTCACCTCCAGCTGTCATTGAATCCTACCCCTCCCTCAAACCTTTCCGTGGTCGACATCCACCTTTAACACTGAGCCACAAAAAAAATTTAAAGTTGAAATAAAATAAAGTTAAAGGCTCAAACTTAGGAGGCCTGGACAAGGTCATTGTTCCTTGTAAATAAGGACCTAAATAAAGACACCGCACACCCAGCCATTGAGCATCGTGCGCTTTGAAAATATCAGCTAACACCCTTGACATGTGCCGGACACCGGAGCCGCAGCTTCCATGTAGGAGAAAAACGACAACACAACGACTAAATATTTATACTCTCCGATCCGTCACATCGCGTCAGAAGTGCACTCGTGTCTTAGTTTCTCACACAAGTAGTGTCACCCTACCTGCGATGTGTAAGGTGTAGGGGTGCACCCATTTGACGCTGGAGTCTCTCTCTCTCTCTCTCTCTCTGAATGGCGGTGGTGTGAAATGCATGGGATGAAATATTTTCTGTTGCCTCAGGAGTTGTGGAGTTTACCTTGGTTTGAGTTGTGTAGTTGTGGACCGACTGATTGGAGATCAGTCCTTCCTAACCCTTTTTTTTTGGCTTGTGACCCCAGTTTGACATGACAAATGTCTGGCGACCCCGGAGACGTTTTTTTTTTTTTTTTCTAGATTAGATTAGAGCACAACGTGATATTTTATTTTCCCTGACCAGCTTGTCTATACAATACTGAACAAACAATCTCTTAAACAGTGAATTATGAAAGATGGAAAGTATTACAGTGCTTCAGTTTGTCATGCATTTTTTTAAAAAAAACGATGAAAGATGGAAAGTATTACAGTGCTTTAGTTTGTCGTGCATTTTTTAAAAATTAATTACTGGACATTTCAGCTAAAACCATTTGAATTCCCGGCAATCCCACATGGCGTTGCGACCCCATGGTTGAAAAACAATATAAATGACTATTTCAGTTTTTTTTAAGTCGGTTAAATTTATGTTTACTTCCAGCTAAGAAAAGTTGCAACATTTACAGTATAATGCCTTAATACAGTGGTTCTCAGTTATTTTCTATCATGCCCCCCCTTGGGGACAGAAATGTTTTCACGCCCTACCCGACCACTCCGACTCACACCCCGGAAAAAAGCTAAGATTAAAACTTAAAAAAACAGCACTGTTTTTGATGGTTGCTATACTGTTGCTATTATTTTTAAAGTGGTAATTATGACATGTGTTTGTTCAAGGTACTCGTATATCGTCAGTACTGACAACATTATGCTCTGAACACCGTGTCTCTCCTAAGCCGTGACCTTCCTGAACCCTCTCTAAATGAAACCAAGGCTGATTGTTAGAGTGGTTGTTCTTTAATTAGAAACAGTTTGGGGTTTGATCACAGGCTTTATTACCACATCAGATTTTCTCAGACTTGGAAGACCTTTAACTTCATGTTACTCCTGTGGACTTTGCCAGTCTTTTTTAAAATTATTTTTCATAAATACTCGAGTAAAAGGTCAAAGGATAAAACTGTAGCTAGAAGATTAGAAAAGTCAAAAGTACAACCCACGTCATTGGCTTAAAACGTCGCCTACTAAAAACCTAAATACCATTGTTACTTCTTTATGTAAACCCTACTCCACTGTGTCAAGAAAGTCTCCTGTGTCTTTCAGCAACTAAAAAGTAAGTCTTTGTAACTTTTGATGTTTGACGTCTTCTGTTGATAAATTATGTAAGACACCGATTAGCTCAAAAAGACAACAGTCGTCGGGTTAGTCCTTTGTCCCTGTAAGCCAGTGCTTCTCAAATAGTGGGGCGGGCCCCGTCTGGAGGGGGTGTCGTGAGGTGCCAGGGGGGGGCGTTTGGGGTGGAATATGGC